GCCATATTATGCCTTCTCGGTATTTCTTGTAGAAAATGTTGTATGGGGGAGAAGTGAGGGGCGGAAGAGCAGATGGTTCAGTTTGATTTATTCCCAATATCTACAGGCCTTTTATACCTAGAGAACAATGTACAAAGGACAATGTAGATAGAACAATGAGAATACTAAACAATAGCGAACTCGAACGAGTCAGACCAGCTGAAACGTTTCATGGTTGAAACACTATCCTGTGTTTCAACATGCTGTGCATATCCATGCTAACCGTTGCACTGTTTCAGAAGCAGTGCCTCGGCTTGCTGTGCAGATTCCAACATTTCAAATGATGGGGCACCTCAATACACCGGGGAGTCGAACCCCGCTTCGCCATTATGCGTCGCTCCTTGTAATACGGCTGGCGCGTGTCCCGTACACCACGGTGCCTTTTCCCCCCTGCTATGCGCCAGAGCTTATTCAGTATTTTTTTAGCAGCAGCTTGAACGGAGTAAAAAAGACTCTTGAAACAGATGCACTGTTGGGGAGTCGAACCCCGCCTCGCCATTATGCCTTGACCAAAATTTCCTATATGGCTGGCGCGTGTACCCTCCACCACGGTGCTTTCATCCCTCTATGGTACGCCTGGGTTTATCCAGTATTTTTGAGCGGAAGTGTGAGTGGAGTTCTTGAAAAAAAGCAGGTTTGAGATCATCCTATGCACCATCGGGGAGTCGAACCCCGTGCTCGCCATTATGCGTGAGGCACTGCTTATAAGGCTGGCGCGTGTACCCCACACCACGGTGCTTTCATCCCTCTCTATCGTGTGCCTGGGTTTATCCAGTCATTTTTGGGACCGTAGCGTGAACGGAGCAAAAATGCGAGTACACCAAGCGATGCACCGCCGGGGAGTCAAACCCCTTCTCGTCATTACACCTTCACCATCTCCCATAAAGCTGGCGCGTGTACCCTCCACCACGGTGCTTCCATCCCCCTCTCCTGCGCTCGGATCCTGTATCCCGTATTTTCTGGGGCACAGCCCGAGTGGAAAAAAGAATCCGTGACACACAACAACGCACCGTCGGGGAGTCGAACCCCTTCTCGCCATTATGCCTCCATTACGTATACGTCTCATATGGCTGACGAGTGTACCCACACCAAGGTGCCTTCCTCCCTTTCTCCTCCGCTCGGATCATGTATCCCGTATTTTCTAGGGTACAGGCCGAGTGGAAAAAATAGACAGGATGTGCAAAGCCGCATGATAAACCAAAGGATTTATGAGCGGATCCTTGTTCATTCCGATGAAATATGAGTAAATTACGTGCTATGCAGTGCACTGAACCACTTACCTAACATAAGGTACACCACTTTCACATCATTATTTGGTTTCACCACAGCCGCTGTGCGGCTATGGCCGCAATTCTGCCCAAACAGGGCATTTTTCAACCATTTCCCACACTTCCTCCTTCCACCTGGAGCTGGAGTCAACACCAACAGCTTCAAACCACTCTATGCCAGGTTTATATACTTAAGGTAGCGGCCATCCATTTACGGCAAACGTCCCAATAAGGACAAATTCTTTGAAATAAATCCACTGGAAAATTAGCAAGCAACTTGAGCCTTATCCGTTCCATGGATTTCAAGGTATGCATGTTAGCTATCGTTTGAACTATCAAACTAACCGATTTGAAGTCTCTATAAACTGTAGTTACAGATTTAGATCCCCATCACTCAAAACCTGCCAAAAATGATGGGGACTTTGCGAGGACAACTCCTCACTCAATTCTCACTTTGGTACCTATTGGTCTTGTTCAGGGGTGCAAAACATGTATATCTACAGATTCATGGAAGGAATTGAGCTCAAACATCCGACCGATTATCTAGCATATTTATTTCAAGAATTTGCCCTTATTGGGATGTTTGCCGTAAATGGATGGCCGCTACCTTAATGGATAGGGAATCAAAAGCCGCACGGTGCCGCATGCGGCTTTGCACAATGCACAAAAGCCGAATGTGGCTCTGAGCGGCTTTGCACATCCTGTCTAATCCTTGAAAATTGAAGAACACACCGTCAGGGAGTCGAACCCCGCCTCGCCATGTACTTTTCTATACGGCTGGCGCATGTACCCACACCACGGTGATAAGCCGGCTGAGTGAACCAGCGTGAAATCTTTCAATTTCACACCAGTTACACAAGGTTACTAGCTGAAAACACAACATTAATTAATGTTTCTCCAAAGGGCTATTGCGAGGTCTGAGCAGATAGCTAGGGATATAACATGTGCTATAAAGAGAGTTGGTATGACTTGTATGACGGCCACCTTACGGGTCATATTACAGGAGTATCTAAGTTCAATATGGCTAACAACGGGTCTAACCATCTGATCGGATTGGGACGCGTTGGCATGTTTCCTGAACAAGGACACATAATACTATCCATTCAGAAGGATCACATGGACGGGACTATACTATGGGTTATTCTAGAACGTCGGCGGTCGAGCGGGGTCAATATTGATAGCCAGGAACCGGCTCAACAATAGCCGATCCCAATCGGGCGTGATATTGTTGATGACCCGGCTCAGCTTACGCTCGGATACGCATCCGAACCCTGGGCCCTTGATGAACCGGTTCAAGAGTTGTTAGGGCTACAGAGGAGCCAATCACGGAGTAGATATTGCAGCAAGGAGGGCTGCGGGTTTCGGTTTAATCAACCGAGCCAGCACTGGTTTGCCTTGGCAACTGATGGCTCAGCACGAGCCAAGCCAACCCTATACCCTGGTCGCATGGATGTGCAGCCACTTATACCTTAGAATATTTATTGGAACATGAACTAACGTTCAACAAGTTTGGTTTGATACCCAAATAGTGCGGCGCCCGCGGCCCACTGAGTTCCGTTTATCCGTTTGTACCAAACTCATTCTTTATTTATTGTTTCCGTTTTGGGATTGTTCATTTGTATAAAAGGCAGTAGTTTAGCAGTGGAACGCCAGTGAATCTACCCTTTCCCTCTACTAGTGCGAGCCTTGCTTGTACGCCTAGGGAAAGTCTAGTATTCATTCGGAATACCATTGGGGAAGCTCTTAGTTTCTACAATTTGTGTTTCGGTCTCATAATATATTTGATCATCTAGCAAAGTCTGAATATCTGAATATCTGAAATCTGTATATCTGGCATCTGGCATATCTGGTTTCTGGACATTTGGCATAAGAAAATATCTGCCTTTGAGCATTTGGTACATGCACAATAGTAATACTGTCCGTTGCATATTTTGAGAACGTTATACGGAAACCAACCTCCTAGATCTTCACTGATCGACCTTGGAATCATATTCCACAACCCTGTGATAAAACCCAACTTTCCAAATCATCTAGTCCGCATATAGCGCCTGGAACGATTAAGATAGTCACTTAAACCAACATTAATTAAAGAACTATTTCTTTGATTGTGAAGCCAAATTGTGTACAGCGTTTTAACGTTGGAATCCCCGAACCTGCAGTCTGATTGTAGCGGACATAGTGGTGTTATTGGTGTTTTATAGTGGTGTATTAAGCCATTGTATTAGACCAATTTCATTAGTGTTCATATACTCAGCGTTTCAACGGTGCCTCTATCCCCCTCTCCTCCGCTCGGATCCTGTATCCCGTATTTTCTGGGGCACAGCCCGGGTGGAAAAAAAAATCCTTGACACCCCAACAACGCACCGCCGGGGAGTCAAACCCCTTCTCGCCATTTTATCCCTCCATTCTGCGATTGGGTTTATTCAGCAATTCTCGGGCTTCAAGGCGAGCAGAGTAAAAAAGAATCTTGAAACAGATGCACCGTCGGGGAGTTGAACCCCCCTCGCCATTATGCTACTGCATTCCTTTTGATAAGGCTGGCACGCGTACCCTACACCACGGTGCTTTTTTCCCTCTCTATGATGCTTCTGAGTTTATCTAGTCATTTTTGGACTGCAGCGCGAGCGAAGCAAAAAAAAAAAAATGTTTTTCTCAATGCGGAGGCACCGTCGGGGAGTCGAACCCTGCCTCGCCATTATGCCTTGACCAAATTTTCCTATACGGCTGGCGCATGTACCCTCCACTACGGTGCTTCCATCCCTCTCCATTCCGCCTGGGTTTATCCAGTCATTTTCGAGACCGTAGTGCGAGCGGAGTTCTTGAAAAAGAGATTCAGGGATTGTGAATGCTCCGCCGGGGAGTCGAACCCCGCTTCGCCATGTCAGCTTCTATTCCCGCTCCCACGGGTATGGCGCGTGTACCCCACACCACGTTGCCTTCATCTCTCTCTCATGCGCCTGAGCTTATCCAGTCATTTTTGAGGCCGCCGCGCGAGCGAAGGAAAAAAACGCCTTCGCGAACGAAACAAGCACCGTTGGGGAGTCGAACCCCTCTCGCCATTATGCGTCGCTCCTTGTAATACGGCTGGCGCGTGTACCCTCCACCACAGTGCTCATATCCCTCTATCATGCGCCTGAGTTTATCCAGTATTTTTGAGCGGAAGCGCGAGCGAAGGTAAAACTGATGCGTGGATCGCATATGTACTGTCGGGAGTCGAACCCCTCTCGCCATTATGCCTCTGCTAGGTAACCCTCACATACGGCTGGCGGGTGTACCGCACACCACGGTGCCTTTATCCCTCCATTCTACGCCTGAGTTTATTTAATATTTTTCGGGTACAGTGCGCGGGGGAAAAAATCCGCAACAGTCCAAGAACGCACCGTCGGGGAGTCGAACCCCGAGCTCGTCATGAAATCCTAAATTCTCATGCACGAAAGCTTTTGACGTACGTGTGTTGGTTACACCAGCGATGCGCCGAGCAACTTGTAAGCGGGCGATGAACTGTGCATCGATATCTCCGATTAAAGCCGAGAGAGTCCGAGAGGATCACCAGACAAGTCGTTGGGCGCGGGATACACGCGTGCCGCCGAGAGAACACAGATTTGCGGTTCGGAGTTGGGAACACGATGGAGGCGATTTAGGTAGTACTAGAGAACGTGTGATGCGCGAAAAAAATACGAGTGTCAAGAAGAATGCACCGGCGGGGAGTCGAACCCCGAGCTCGTCAGGGTATAGCGGAATATGTGCCATAGCTAGGATTCTGACGCGTGTACCATACACCACCGGTGCGCAAAGAAGCTAGGACGCGGCACATGAAGTGTTTCATTGGGTCGGTCGAATCAGCAGTGATAAAATGTGCATCTCCACTCCTAGGGAGTCCGAGTGAATTCCCAGACATGCCGCTGGCCGTGTGATCGGGGCCGGCAGAGACAAAGGGTTTATTTCGGAGGAGGGAGAAAAAACCGCTGGAGGCGGATCAGGTGTTCGGAGACCGTGGGACGGCATGAAAAAAGTTCCGTACTTTGCAAGAGGAATGCACCGGCGGGGACTCGAACCCCGAGCTCGTCATGGTGCAACGCAGCAAACTACAAGGTTTTCGACGCGTGCTTCTTACACCACCGATGCGCAGAGAAGCTAGTAAACGGAGTGTGAAGCGAATTATTCCAGCGGTCTGCCAATACAATGCAGATATATATATATTTTGCTCCATGATCTTTCGGTGAATCTTAGGAAAAATCAGGAAAACGATGCGAAAATGCTGGCTGCTTCCGAGCGGAATCTGCGGATTTTGGGGGGTGGCACATATAAATCTAGAAGGAGCTGAGACTTATGTGCCCCCACGGAAGGACATCGGCGTCAGACTGCCCCAAAAAAATTTACCGCGAAATCCAAGAGGCCTCTGATCTGAAGATCAACCATACATCAGTCGTCGCGTGGCAATGATTGCCGATGCTCATGATCGCACTCCTTTTGGACACTTTTGCCCCCCTACCAGTCTACAAGAGTTCAGAGGGTAGTGGGGGCACTAAGTACCCCCAGGAGGTGTTGTAGAAGGGCTTGTGCAGAAGAACGCATCGCACGAGCGAAAGAGATGGACTGTTTACTGATCACGGTACGATGACGTGTCTCGGACAAGCTTCCAAATCTGGGGGGGGGGTCTCCTCACGTGTACATATCAGTGTGGTCGATAACGAGATCTGACGCCTCTTGGCGAAATCAGGCACCGGCGAGGACTAGCTCGTCATGGTCAGTTGCCTTTATCACCAGAATTTTGACGTGTGTTGCTTACACCACCGATGCGCGGGGAGGTTAGTACATGGATGCTCAAATGCGTATCTCAAACCCGACGGAGTCCGAGCGAATTAGAGGGCGTGCAAGTCGTCGGCCGTGTGATCAGCAGATTGGCCGTGGTATAAGCAGATGAAAGAGCTGATCATTATTGCAGGACTCCAGGAGGAAGACGACGGAGGCGGATGAGGTACTAGAGCGCGTGTGGTGCATGAAAAAAGGTATGAGTCCCAGGAAGAATGCGCCGGCGGGGAGTCGAACCCCGAGCTCATCAAGGTCACTCCCTTTTGAAGATACCAGTATTTTGACGTGTGTTGCGTACACCACCGATGCGCAGATGAGCTGGTAAGCGGGGAGTGAAGTGTGTGTGTTGGTAACCAGTCCAAATCCCAAACGAAGAGACCCGCAGTGGATGGATGGCGAGTGAAAGCGTTGGGTGAATGTCAGATTAAATGACGCGCTGCAGATCTAGCGCGCGGAGGAATTGCGCTTGAAACGCCCGAAGGAGAGGTCGTGCTGGTCCGGGTGCGGAGGGAAAAAGAAAGACTCAAAGCGTCGAAACGTCGGCGGGGAGTCGAACCCCGAGCTCGTCAGGGTATAGTCATTTTGTCCTAAGACAGGATTTAGAATACACCGCCGGGGAGTCGAACCCCTCTCGCCACTATGCACTCTCGCATGGTTAATTATACGGCTGGCGTGTGTACCCTCCACCACGGTGCCTTTATCCTTCTATCGTGCGCCTGAGTTTATTCAGTAATTTTTAGGGCGCAGGAGTAAAAAAGAATCTTGAAACAGATGCACCGCCGGGAGTCGAACCCCTTCGCCATTATGCCTGCCGCATTGCTTATATTGCTGGCGCATGTACCCCACACCACGGTGCTTGTCTCCCTATCTATTCCGCCTGAGGTTATTCAGTATCTTATGAGACCGTAGCGCGAGCGGAGTTCTTGAAAAAAAGCAGGTTTGAGATCATCCTATGCACCGCCGGGGAGTCGAACCCCTTCTCGCCATTATGCCTTGAAGATGGTCTGCTATGAGACTGGCGCGTGTGCCGTACACCACGGTGCTCGTATGATACCTATGGTACGCCTGAGTTTGTCCAGTATTTTCTGGAGTACAGCGCGAGCGGAGTTCTTGAAAAAAAGGCGGGTTTGAGGCTGACGCATGCACCGCCGGGGATTCGAACCCCTCTCGCCATTATGCCTTGAAGATGGTCTGCTATGAGACTGGCGCGCGTACCCCACACCACGGTGCTTTCATGCCTCTATGGTACGCCTGAGTTTATTCAGTAATGTTCTGGGGTACAGCCGAGTGGAAAAAAACAACTTCGCGAACGAAACAAGCACCGTCAGGGAGTCGAACCCCGCTTCGCCATTGTGTATTCACCATCTCCCATAGAGCTGGCGTGTGTACCCACACCACGGTGCCTTTATCTCTCTACTCTGCGCGCGGGTTTATCCAGTATTTTCTGAGCCGCCGCGCGAGCGGTGTAAAAAGATACTTAACTCAATGCGGAGGCACCGCCGGGGAGTCGAACCCCTTCTCGCCATTATGCCTTGAAGATGGCCTGCTATGAGACTGGCGCGTGTAACGCACATCACGGTGCTTTCATCCCTCCATTCTACGCTTAAGTTTATCCACTAATTTTCTGGGGCACACCCCGAGTGGGAAAAAGAATCCGCGGCGATCGAAGAACGCACCGTCGGGGAGTCGAACCCCTTCTCTTCATTATGCCTCCAGCTGCCCATATATGGCTGGCGCGTGTATCCTCCACCACGGTGCCTTTATCCCTCTGCTATGCACTCGAGTTTATCCAGTATTTTTGGGACCGTAGCGCGAGCGGAGTAAAAGACGACGAAGAGATGCATGCACCGCCGGGGAGTCGAACCCCTTCTCGCCATATTATGCCTTCCCAAGCTGCACAGGGATGGCGCGTGTACCGCACACCACGGTGCTTTCATCCCTCTGCTATGCGCCTGGGTTTATCCAGTATTTTCTGGGGCACAGCCTGAGTGGAAAAAGAAACCGTGGGACCCAAGCACGCACCGTCGGGGACTCGAACCTCTTCTCGTCATGTCCACATATGGATGTGGGGCGTGTACCCTCCACCACCGTGCTCGTATTAAAACCATGGTGCGCCGGAGCTTATTCAGTATTTCTGGGGTACAGCCCGAGTGGAAAAAAGAATCCGCGACACACCACCAACGCACCGCCGGGGAGTCGAACCCCGCCTCGCCATGGTAGCATCAAGTCACCATACATAGATACGGCGCGTGTACCGTCCACCACGGTGCCTTTCTCCCTCCATTCTACGCCTGAGTTTATTTAATATTTTCTGGGGTGCGGTGCGCGGGGGAAAAATCCTTGACACCCCAACAACGCACCGTCAGGGACTCGAACCCCGCTTCGCCATTATGCCTTCTGTTTATCCTCTTATACGGCTCGGGCGTGTACCCCACACCACGGTGCTTTCATCCCCCTCTACTCCGCTCGGGTTTATCCAGTATTTTTTGAGGCCGCCGCGCGAGCGGAGTTCTTGAAAAAAAGCAGGTTTGAGATCATCCTATGCACCGTCGGGGGCTCGAACCCCGCTTCGCCATTACGCCATCTTGGTCCTGTGTTATACGGCTGGCGCGTGTACCCCAGACCACGGTGCTTCCATCCCCCTCTATTCCGCCTGAGTTTATTCAGTATTTTCTGAGCAGCAGCGTGAACGGAGCAAAAATGCGAGTACACCAAGCGATGCACCGCTGGGGAGTCGAACCCCGCTTCGCCATTATGTCTCCGCTAGGTATCCCTCACATACGGCTGGCGCGTGTACCTTCCACCACGGTGCTTTCATCCCTCTATTCTACGCACGGGTTTATTCAGTATTCACTGCGTTCAGACCCCCCCGTAGGCACAGGTCTGCCGGATCCCAATAGGCAGATATGTAGGCCAACCAGTGCGCCGAGCCCTGCCGAGCCCTGCCGAGAGGTTGGTCTAGGTGTTCCGGCAGGAATAGGCACACATAGAATGATGTGGGCCCTTGAGCCTAGCTAGGAAATTCGAGACCCGGCATGGTTCCTCATTTCATCCGCCACCAACCTGGACTCGGATCGGCCAAGGTCGGCCAAGATAGGCGCACCACCGTCGGCCGAGATCGTCCAACGTGGGCAGGCCTCGCGTAGGCAGACGTGTTAGACCAACATCGGCCAACGTAGGCTTACGTAGTCATACCTCGGCAGAGATTGGCGTACGTAGGCACATCTGTGCCTACGGGGGAGTCTGAACGCAGTGATTTTCTGGCCGCCGCGCGACCGGAGCAAAAGACGACGTCCCGATGCACGCACCGCCAGGGAGTCGAACCACGGTGCTTTACCTCCTCTATGGTACGCTCAGGTTTATCCAGTCATTCTGGACCGCAGCGTGAGCGGAGCAAAAAAACGCATTCGCGAACGAAACAAGCACCGTCAGGGAGTGGAACCCCTCTTAGCCATTAAATTGGGCCCACCCCTGCTCCTTATATCCCTGGCGCGACGGTGCTTCCGTCCCTCTATCATGTGCCTGAGTTTATTCAGTCATTTTTGGGCTGCAGCGCGAGCGCTACAAAAAAAAGATCCACCAAATCTTGACCATGCACCGCCGGGGAGTCGAACCCCGCTTCGCCATTATGCGTCGCTCCTTGTGATACGGCTGGCGCGTGTACCCTCCACCACAGTGCCCATATCCCTCTATAATGCGCCTGAGTTTATCCAGTATTTTTGAGCGGAAGCGCGAGCGAAGGTAAAACTGATGCGTGGATCGCATATGTACCGTCGGGAGTCGAACCCCTCTCGCCATTATGCCTCTGCTAGGTAACCCTCACATACGGCTGGCGCGTGTACCCACACCACGGTGCCTTTATCCCTCTATGGTACGCTTGAGTTTATCCAGTCATTTCTGGGGCACAGCCCGAGTGGAAAAAAACCATGTGACGCAAGCACCCACCATCGGGGAGTCGAACCCCGCTTCGCCATGTAATACTTGCCCAAGTTGCACAGGGATGGCGCGTGTACCCTACACCACGGTGCTTTCCTATCTCTATGGTACGCTCTAGTTCATTCAATATTTTTTTGAGCGGAAGCGTGAACGGAACAAAAATGTGCTCCAGACACTATATGCACCGCCGGGGAGTCGAACCCCTTCTGGCCATTTCAATTCTGTGTCTTTCTTATACGGCTGGCGCGTGTACCGCACACCACGGTGTCTTTATCCCTCCGTTCTACGCTTGGTTATACCCTGTATTCTTTTGGATTTCAACGCGAGCAGGCTAAAAAAAACTCTGCAGAGCTACTATCACCGTCAGGGAGTCGAACCCCTTCTCGCCACTATGCCTGCTGCGTCTTTCCCTCTGCTATGCGCCTGGGTTTATTCTGTATTTTTTTGGCTGCAGCGCGAGCGTTACGCAAAAAAAAAGATCCATCTAATCTTGACCCATGCACCGTCGGGGAGTCGAACCCCACCTCGCCATTACGCGTCCACGAGTAGCCTGTATATTCCTGGCGTGTGCACCACCCACCACGGTGCTTTCCTACCTCTATTCTACGCTTGGGTTTATTCAGCATTTTGAGACCGCAGTGCGAGTGAAGTTCTTAAAAAATCAGCCCTAAGACCCATGCACCGCCGGGGAGTCGAACCCCGCTTCGCCATGTCAACTTCCATTCCCGCTCCCACGGGTATGGCGCATGTACCGTACCACGGTGCTCGTATAATAGTTGTAGTGCGCACGAGTTCATTCGGTATTTGTAGGGTACAGCCCGAGTGGAAAAAAAATCCTTGACACCCCAACAACGCACCGCCGGGGACTCGACCCTCTCGCCATTATGCGTTCACCATATTTGCTATACGGCTGGCGCTTGCGCCGTACACCACAGTGCCTTTATCCCTCTCTATTCCGCCTGAGTTTATTCAATATTTTCCAGGGCATGTCCAGCCCGAGTGGAAAAAAGAATCTGTGACAATCCAGGGACGCACCATCGGGGAATCGACCCCCGCTTCGCCATATTACGCCCTCCTGCTTGTAATCATATGACTGACGCGTGTACCCTCCACCACGGTGCTTTCATCTCTCTATTTCGCCCGGGTTTATCCAGTATTTTTTGGGCTGCAACGCGAGCGCTGTAAAAAAGATCCATCCAACCAATGACCCATGCACCACCGGGCATTTCAATTCTCTGTCTTTCTTATTATACGGGTGGCACGTGTGCCCCACACCAAGGTGCCTTTATTCCTCTATCGTGTGCCTCAGCTCATCCGGTAGTATTTTTTAGGACCGTAGCGCGAGCGAAGGGAAAAAAAGAAATGATGGAGCACCTCAATGCACCGCCGGGGAGTCGAACCCCGCTTCGCCATTACGCCATCTTGGTGCTGTTTTATACGGCTGGCGCATGGACCCCACACCACGGTGCCTTTCTCCCGCTCTGTTCCGCCTGAGTTATCCAGTCACTTCCTTGGTACAGCGCGAGCGAAGCAAAAATGGAAGTCGATCATGACCCATGCACCGCCGGGGAGTCGAACCCCTCTCGCCATTATACCACCGAAATACTTGTCTATACGTATGGCTGGCGCGTGTACCCACACCACAGTGCTTCTATCCCCGTACGCTTGGTTATACCCTGTATTTTTTTAGATTTCAACGCGAGCAAGCTAAAAAAGGACGCGAGGAGCTCATAATGCACCGTCGGGGAGTCGAACCCCGCTTCGCAATTATGTTGTCCAAGATACCTATATGGCTTGCATGTGTACCCACACCACGGTGCTTTCATCCCTCTCTACTCCGCCTGGGTTTATCCAGCATTTTTGGGACCGCCACGCGAGCGGTGTAAAAAGATGCTTAACTTAATGCGGAGGCACCGTCGGGGAGTCGAACCCCTCTCGCCATTATGCCTCTGCTAGGTAACCCTCACATACGGCTGGCGCGTGTACCGCACACCACGATGCTTTCATGCCTCGATGGTGCGCTCTGGTTCATTCAGTATTTTTGAGCGGAAGCGTGAACGGAGCAAAAATGTTTCGCCAATTGCGGAGGCACCGTCGGGGAGTCGAACCCCGCTTCGCCATTGTGTATTCACCATCTCCCATAGAGCTGGCGTGTGTACCCACACCACGGTGCCTTTATCTCTCTACTCTGCGCGCGGGTTTATCCAGTATTTTTGAGGCCGCGCGAGCAGAGTAAAAAAGACCCATCTAACCATGATCCATCCATGCACCGTCGGGGAGTCGAACCCCTCTCGCCATTATGCCTTGAAGATGGTCTGCTATGAGACTGGCGCGTGTGCCGTACACCACGGTGCTCGTATTATACCTATGGTGCGCCTGAGTTTATCCAGTCATATCTGGACTGCAGTGCGCGGGGGAAAAAATCCGTGACAACCCAAGAACGCACCGTCAGGGAGTCGAACCCCGCTTCGCCATGTCGACTGTCAGCTTCCTTTATCACGGGTATGGCGCGTGTACCGCACACCACGGTGCTTTCATGCCTCTATGGTGCACCAGAGTTTATTCAGCATTTTCTGGGCCGCCGCGCGAGCGGAGTAAAAGATGACGACCAAGAGATGCATGCACCGTCAGGGAGTCGAACCCCTTCTCGCCATTATACCACCGAAATACTTGTCTATACGTATGGCTGGTGCGTGTACCCACACCACGGTGCTTGTCTCCCTCTATGGTATGCTTGAGTCTATCCAGTCATTTTTGAGGCCGCCGCGCGAGCGAAGGGAAAAAAAAACGCCTTCGCGAACGAAACAAGCACCGTCAGGGAGTCGAACCCCTTCTCGCCATTATACCACCGAAATACTTGTCTATACGTATGGCTGGTGCGTGTACCACACACCACGGCGCCTTTATCCCACCGTTCTACGCTTGGTTATACCCTGTATTCTTTTGGATTTCAACGCGAGCAGGCTAAAAAAGGACGCGAGGAGCTCTTAATGCA